ATCCACCTCCTCAGCTCTTCACTTTTGCAGCTGTCCAGTTCCAGCAGCAGCTGGTCCCCAGGATTTTCCTCTTCCACCTTGTCAGCATCTCTGGCCTCCTCCCTTTTGAGAACAGGCAGGTCCTGGTTCTCCTGTGGGACCTCCAGAGTGCTCAGCTCTTCTGAAAAAGCAAGAACATGCCCCAGAATTATGATGGCAGCCTTCCTGCACCCTCTCGCTGCAGACACCCACCCACCAGCTCTATAGCCCCCAAGCTCACTGCTGTTGATCCACATGAGTAAATTGCCAATTTCCGTGTAGTCTTCCAGAATGTCAGTGCTTGCTGTCACTTCTGGGAAAGGAAGAAAATCCCCAGCGGAGCAATGCTGGCTTTTGCTCACCCACTCAGTGCAGACACCCTCTTGCTAGTTCTTTGTTGCCCAGACTCACCATCATCAATCCAGGTGAGCAGATTACTGATGTCTGAGAAGTCATCCAGAGTATCTGTGCCAGTCATTGCATCCAGAAAAAGGAAGAACATCCCCAGTGGGGTAATGCCAGCTTTCCCATAGCCTCACAAAATAGACAACCTGCTGCCCGCCCTGCAGCCCCTGAACTCACCGCCTGATTCCAGTGTGGCAGCGCTGCAGGTGAGCAGAGCCGTGGCAGGGTGGGGGCACACATCGGTGGGCGCTGGGTGCCCCTGGTCCTCCAAGAGCAGCACAGCGTCTTGGAAGGGCTGCATCAGCAGCTCCCAGATGGCAGGCAGGGTGCAGGGCACGGGGAGCATCAGCTCCTGCAGGGAGGGTACCTGCAAAAGAACTAGGGGGGCGGGGGCAGCCAGGGGTCTGCAGCAGGCAGGTGCCTGCAGGCTGTGGGGGCTCCTCGGGGAGCCCTAGGCCACAGCCACATTGGCTGTTGGGGTGGCAGCATCCTTACCAGCAGGGGATGTCCCTAGTGGTGGACAAAGGCAGCGGGGGGCAGCATACCTGGGTACAGTCCCCCAGGTAGGAGCAGCAGCACCGGTAAGCGCAGCCCCACAGTTGGCAGCTGAGCCAGAATTGGGGGCAGCCCCCCAGGTGGGAGCTGCGCTGCCTGTGCCCAGACATCTGGTACCCCAGGCCAGACAGAGGGCTGAGGTGCCAGATGGGTGGCAATGGGGACAGAAAAGGGTTGGGGTGGTACCGGCATTGGTCTACAGATGCTAATTGGCACTTGAGCTACAACCTATGGCATGCATCTCTTGTGTCCCTGTGCTGAGTAGGGGAAAGTGTACTTTGCCCAAGAACCACCCACACCTCCAAAAAAATTTGTTATTTTCCTCCCCACACATGCTGTTTTTTTCCCCAAACATACAGCCTTTCCTCCCCTAAAACATGCCATTTTCCATCCTAAAATTACTGCATTTCCCCTGCTAAAATAAGCTATTTCCACACCTAAAAGTATAGTCTTTCCTCCCCTAATGTACACCATTTTGCACTCCAAAAATACCACCTTTTCTTGCTCAAAACAAGCCACTTTCTACCCCCAAAAATACTGCCTTTCCTACCCAAAAATTCACCTTTTTTCCCTACCGGAAATACCACCTTTCCTCCCCAGTAATACGACATTTCCTGCACATGCAAGGGAAGCAGATGCTTTTCTCTACAGCAAACCAAGAGAGTAAGTCAGTGAGAGGAAGAGCAGCTGGTATCCTACCTGGAGCTCCATCTTTCTTCCTTTGTGTGCCCTGTTCTCTGGAAATGCTGCTCCTCTTCTCCTCTCTGGAAACCCAAAACAGTTGTCTACAGAACCAGAACAGGAACTCTTGATTTCCTGTTATTTTACATGATGTTCTGATGCACATATACATATAACAATATACACATATAACAAAAACCACATCACCACAGCAGAAATCCTTCCCCAGTGGCAGCCAGCCCTTAAATGGGGTCCAGGAGAGGTGCAGCCAGGCTCCACCCCTTCGTTACACAACTGAATCGCCTTCACCCGCGCTCCCACAGCTGGCTTGGTCCTTGCCTCAGGTGTTCAATCAGTGCTCCAGGCCCTGACCCAACAGCTCCTATTCGCAGGACTGTGAAATGACAAATGTGGGTCACTGGGAGCACTTGGTGTGCAAATACTGGCATCCAGGACAGACTGGGACTGAAATTTGTGGGTTACAGCAGGTCATCCGTCCATAAACCTCCCTTAGCAGGCGTTCATTTTCCTCGTTATCACTGTTCTGTGGCTGTACTGGCACTTTAAGGGCACGGCCCCAAGCTGTGATGGAGCACCTGGGGGGGGTGCGACCCTGCAGCACAGCTGGGGGCAGTTTGGCTGTGGGCGGGGCTGAGCCGGGCTCCACCCCTCCCTGGCCCCATTTAAGGGCTGGGAAGCTCAGGGGCTGCATCCAAACCTGGGGAGTGCTGCCTTGGGAGTGTGGGTGAGCCCTGCTCCTTGGGAGGGGGTGGGAGATCTGTTCTCTGTTGCAGGGCTGTGATCTCTTCTTTTCTGGGGGATCCTGACTGTGTTGAAGGGCTGGCAGCTATCTGCACCTGGAAGCTGCTTCCTTTGAGCATGGTGAATATTGGCCCTTGGAATGGGGTAAGTGGTTCCATTTTTATTTCAGGGTTGTGATCTCCCCTTCTGGGGGTTCCTTACCTCATTTAAGGGCTGGTACCTGTAAAGGCAGCACCTGAATCTGGAGACTGCTTTCTCTGGGGGGTGGGGTGAGCCCTCAGGATGGAGTGATTCCTGCTTTATTTCAGAGCTGTGAGCTATGCCTTTCTGGGGGATCTCAAGCTGGGTCAGAGCAGCTGTATCTGCTATGTGTGTTGTTTCTTCTTTAATGGTTCTCATCTCATAACTTCCAGTCTGGGGCCCTAAATGTGGTTCATCTGCTCCTATGTCATCCCATTTCATGGCTGTAATTCATAGTGTTGTTAATTGCATTCATGCAGAATTTTTTAAGGGGATTCTGTGCATTATTATCATGTATTAAATTATGTTCTGCATCTTTTCTGACTTCAGTTTGCTACCTGATGGGGTTCAAGGATTGCCTCGGCTCCTCCAGTCAGTGGTGTGAGATCAGCACAGCAGATAATGAACACCATGAGCCCCATGTTGGTGCATTGCTTGTATGCAGGTCGGTTTGCGATGTGGTCCATCTCCCCCACAATGATCACCCAGCTGGATCAGGCTGCTCAGAGCCTGACCCAGCCTCACCTTGGAAGGGGCAGTGCATCCACCACGTCTCTGGCAATCTGTTCTACTGTCTCTCCACCCTCACTGTGGAAGACATTTTCCTTATATCTAATCTCAATTTTCCCTTGTTCTTTCCTTTAGGTATTGAAAAGCTGTTACCAGGTCACCTTGGAGCCTTCACTTCTCCAGGCTGAACAGCCCAGCTCTCCTCACAAGAGAGGTGTTCTGTCCCTCGGTTCCTATTTGTGGCTGTGCTCTGGATGTGCTCTCACAGCTCCATGCCTCTCCTGCACTGAGGGCTCCACATCTGGATGCAGCACTGCAGGTGAGGCCTCAGCAGCGCAGAGCAGAGGGGTGCGGGTCGCTTCCCTTTGTCTGCTGACCACAAATCCTTGGATGCAGCCCAGGATACGGTTGGCTTTCTGGGCTGGAAGGGCCATTGCTGGCTTGCGTCCAGCTCCCACCCACCAGTACCCCAGGTCTTATGGGTCCTTTCATCCTCCAGCATGTTTTGGTGGTGGGTGTTCCCTCATCACAGCTACTGACCCTGCACTTGGATTTGTGCCCGCTGCTCAGCCTCTTGAGGTCCCTCTGGATGGCGTTCCGTCCCTCTGGTGTGTCACTGTACTCTGCAGCTTGGCATCATTAGGATGCACTTAACCCCACTGTCACTGATGAAGGGGCAATCCCAGATGTTTATACAAACTGGGCATAGAACCCCTTGAGAGCAGCCCTGGGGAGGATATGGAGATCCTGGTGGATGAGAAGCTAGACGTGAGCCAGCAGAGCACGCTTGCAGCCCAGAAGGCCAACTCTATCCTGGGCTGCATTAAAAGAGGAGTGGCCAGCAGGGAGAGGGAGGTGATCATCCCCCTTTACTCAGCTCTTGTGAGGCCTCATCTGGAGCACTGCGTCCAGGCAGTGGAAGGCCGTGGAGGGCCAGCGCACGAAGGCCGTGGAGCTTTCAGAGGGGATTCAGAGGAGGGCATTGAGATGACTGGAGAGGGCTGGAGCATCTCTCCTATGAAGAAAAAAGTTGAGGGAACTGGGGTTGTTTCTCCTGGAGAAGAGAAGGCTCTGGGGAGACCTCATTGCAGCCTTCCAATACTCAAAGGGAGTGCATAAGTAGGAGGGGGAACGGCTGTTTACGAGGGTGGACAGTGGTAGGACAAGTGGGAGTGGTTTTAAACTGAGACAGGGGAGGTTTAGGTTGGTTATTAGGAGGAAGCTTTTCACACGGAGGGTGGTGAGGCACTGGAACGTGCTTTAGAGTCACTTCCAGGAGGATCTGCTTCATGGTTGTTGCCAACACAGAGGTGAGACTGACATGTTGGTAGTTCCTGGGGTTATTCTTTCTATCTGTAATAACAGAAGTGCTGCTGCCTTTTTTCCTACTCACCAGGGACTTCACCTGGCTGCCACGACTTCTGAAATACCATTGAGAGTGGCTCGGTGTCTGCAGGGGTAAACTCCATCAGAGCTCTGGGACCCATCTCGTCAGAACGGAGAGGCTCCTGGAGGTTCGGGTCCTCAGGTGGTCCAGAACCTGATCTTCCATCACAGTGTGGGATGGGGAGGGGAGTTGGTGGGACTGGAATTGCTTCCTCAATCCCCACCTACCAAACCAAAGGTGAGAGCTGTGAAGATGAATGCAAGAATATTGTTGGATACCTGAGCTTTCTCCTTGACTGTTGTTCCCAGCTGCAATGCTGCTGGTGAGCAGAATCGTGCAGAGAGTGCAGCCACATTGCTCTGAGAAAGGAGCACTGCAGCGCACATTTGTGAAAGAGGTGCTACCCTATGTATGTGGGGCAGTGCCTTCATTACTGTGTTGTGTCCCACAGGTAGCAGGGGAGCTGTGGTGCTCCTGAATGCCGTAACGACTGCATGGAGATGTATGGGTCTTCATGGGAACAGCAAGGAACCTGAATCTGCATTTCCTGAAATGCCCCGGAACCTCGCTTTGCTGGCTGGTAATTGTCTGCCCAGCAGGTAAGGGCAATGCACACCCACCAGTGTTTACCCACTCCATAGCATGGCACAACATGGTGCTCCCAGAGCTCTTAATTGCACTTTATGGTGCCCGGAAGGCTGCTTGTCCTTTTCTTTCTGTGTTTTCCTTGTCTCTGGCCTTCCACTGCAGTATTTTCCTTCCCTTTGCCCTTGCTGTTCCCTATTACATCCTCTTGTCCTCCAGTTTTTGTGTTCCATGCTGTGTTCTCTTGGCTGTTGCCCTTGGCTTTTTTACCACATTCACTTCAGCATTCAGTTTTGGCGTTCCCTGCTGCGTTCTCCTGCCCTCCTGTTTTGGCGTTTCTTGCTGTGTTCTCTTGGCCATCATCCTTGGTGTTTCCTTCCACATTCTCTTGGCCCTTGCCCTTGTCTGGGCATTCCCTTGCCCTCCTGTTATTGTGTCCTGTGCCACATTCTCTTGGCCATTGCCCTTGGCTTTCTGTAGTCACATTCTCTTCAGCATTTGGTTTTGGCGTTCCCAGCAGCATTCTGTTGCCCTCCTGTTTTGGCATTTCCTGCCACATTCTCTTGGCCCTTGCCTGGGCATTCCCTGCGGCGTTCTCTTTGATCTCCTGTCTCGATGTTCCAGCCACATTCTGCATTGGCCTTCTTCGCTGCGTTCTCTTTGGCCTCCTATTTTGGCACTTCTTGCCATGTTCTCTTGGCCCTTGCCTGGGCATTCCATGCCGTGTTCCCTCGGCCTTTTGTTTTGGCATTTTGTGCTGTGTTCTCTTGGCCTTTGCCCTTGGCCTTTCCTGCTGTGGTCTCTTTGGCTGTATATTTTGGCCTTTCCTGTTGCGTTCTTTGCCCTCCCCTTGGCTTTCCATTGGTGCTCTCTTTGCTTTTGCCCTTGCCTTAGCTTGGCTGTTTGCTTTGCATTTACCTTGGCTTTCCACGGGAGTTCTGCTTTCCTTTGCCTGCCCTGGGTGTCCTGCTTCCCTTTGCCTTTGGCACTCTAGGATGAGCTGGGAGGCAGCATTAATGTTACCCTTGACCTAAACCCACAGCTGAATGGAAGTCTAACGATAACTGTGTTAACCTGCAGCGTATCTGTAGACCAAACCCTTAACCCAGTGTTGAAAATGTCTCTTACCCTGAATGCTGCTGTAAAAATAATGCCCCATGTTTTGTCAAATAACCATAATTGTAGTGCAGAATACTGATGTTAGACCATCTGTAACTTCAACCCTATCAATACCATTAATTCTATCCCTAACGTTAATTTTAATTAATTACAACCGTTGTGTCATCATTACAGCATTGTGCTCAGGGTGCAGCCCCACACATGCGGGGCAGCGCCTTCATTACTGCATTGTGTCCCACAGGTGGCAGCAGAGTTGCGTTGCTCCTGAGCACTTTAAGGACAGCACGGAGATGCGCGGCTCTTCAGGCAGCAGCAAGGAACCGGAATCTGCATTTCCTGGGATGCCCGGAACCCCGCTTTGCTGGCCGGTAATTGTCTGCCCAGCAGGTAAGGGCGATGCTCACCCACCGGTGTTTACTCATTACTTAGCGAGGCACAAGGTAGGGTTCCCAGAGCTCATTTCTGCACTTCATGGTGCCCTGGATGCTGCCTGTCCTTTTCTTTCTGTGTTCTCCTCACCTCCAGCCTTTCACTGCAGCGTTCTCCTTGCCCTTGGCTTTCCCTGCTGCGTTCTCTCGCCCTCCTGTTTTGGCGTTCCCTGTGGCATTCTCTCGGCCGTTTGCCCTCGGCCACCTTCACTGCGTTTTCTTTGGCCTTCGGCTTTGGCCATCTGTGCCACATTCCCTTGGCCTTTGTCCTTGGCCTTCTTTGCCACGTTCACTTTGCCTCCCGTTCTGGCGTTCCCTACAGCATTATTTTGGCCTTCAGTTCTGGCGTTCGTGGCTGCGTTCTCTTTGGCCGTTGCCCTCGGCCTTCTTTGCCCCATTCCCTTTGGCCTCCTGTTCTGGCGTTCCCTGCGGCGTTCTCTTTGGCTTCTATTTTGGCGTTCCCTTCCACGTTCTTTTTGGCCATTGCTCCTGGCCTTCTTTGCCACATTCCCTTTGGCCTCTTGTTTTGTCTTCTCCTACAGCATTCTCTTTGCCTTTGGTTTTGGCCTTTTGTGCCACATTGTCTTTGGCCATTGCCCTTGACCTTCTGCATCGGCCTTCCCTGCAGCGTTCTCACAGACCTCGCCCTCCATTTTGGCCTTCTGCGTCGATCTCTTTGGTCTCCATTCTGGCGTTCTCTGCGGCCTTCTCCTTGGGCCTGACCTCTGACGCGACCTTTGGCGTTCTCCATGTCTTTCCCATCCCTTTGCCCTCTGTTTTGGCGTTCCCTCAGCTGTTCTCCTTGCCTTTTGCTCTTGCCTTTGCCTTGGCCTTCCCTAACGGTCACTCTAACCCTAATCCTGATGTACCTAACCCTAACACCTTTCCTGTTAAATACTCCTAACCTTACTCTGAAGCCTTTTCTTGGAGCGGTGTTTGGCTTCCACGTTTTGTGGGGGTGGGCTGACGGTGAGCACAGTTTGGGTCTCGGCCTTCCTCCTTCTAAAGCGTGTCTCTGTATTACAGGTGAAGATGCCTTGGACGCTTCCAGTCGATGACTTCCCCCCTGCGACGCCATCAGCTTTCCAGGCCTCCCACACTCACCGCCAGCTCGGTTCGGTCAACCGTTACCCGAATCCCCGCTCCGTTCCCTTTCCATGATCTTCCCGTCACTCTGCCACAAGCCCCTACCAAGGTCATCGCAGGCAGCGTGTGGGATGCGGCGCTCGGTCTCATTGCAGTTCATCCCATCGGCCTCAGCCCAGCGATCCAACCCACCCGCACCCTTCCTGAGGGCCCTTCTGCTCCCAGGCCAATCAACGCTTCCTTCTGATGCCATCTGAGTTCCCTCCAGGCCATTTTCAGACTCGTGCCCCTTTGTGGCCATTTTGAGAGTTGTGCTGATTTCAGCATGTCCATTCAATTGACTTCAACCAAATTGGCTTTAGCTTGACATTCAATTAATGTAAACCAAATTGGCTTTAGCTTTACATTCAATTGACTTCAACCAAATTGGCTTTAGTTTTACATTCAATTAATGTAAGCCATATTGGCTTTAGCTTTGCCTTGGTTACGGGGTTGGGTTAGCCTTGCTTTGTTTGTTCCTAGGCAGGGCTACCCCAACCCCGTAACCAAGGGACGTTGGAGGCGATTTTGTTCCTCCCGGCCAGTCTGAGACTCACGCCCCATTGCGGCCATTTTGAGAGTTGCTCTGATTTCAGCATCTGCGTTCAATTTATCTCAACCAAATTGGCTTTAGCCTTGCAATCATTTTGCATCAACCAAATTGGCTTTAGCTTTGCATTCAATTGGCTTCAACCAAATTGGCTTTAGCTTTACATGCAATTGACTTCAACCAAATTGGCTTTGGCTTTGCATTCAATTGACTTCGACCAAATTGACTTTAGCTTTGCATTCAATTGACTTCAACCAAATTGGCTTTAGCCTTGCATTCAATTGGCTTCAACCAAATTGGCTTTAGCTTTACATTCGATTGACTTCATCCAAATTGGCTTTAGCTTTACATTCAATTAATGTAAGCCAAATTGGCTTTAGCTTTGCCTTGGTTACGGGGTTGGGTTAGCCTTGCTTTGTTTGTTCCTAGGCAGGGCTACCCCAACCCCGTAACCAAGGGCCGTTGGAGGCGATTTTGTTCCTTCCCGGCCAGTCTGAGACTCGCGCCCCATTGCGGCCATTTTGAGAGTTGCTCTGATTTCAGCATCTGCGTTCAATTTATCTCAACCAAATTGGCTTTAGCCTTGCAATCATTTTGCATCAACCAAATTGGCTTTGGCTTTGCTTTCAATTGACTTCAACCAAATTGGCTTTAGCCTTGCATTCAATTGGCTTCAACCAAATGGCTTTAGCTTTACATTCAATTAACGTAAACCAAATTGGCTTTAGCTTTGCCTTGGTTACGGGGTTGGGTTAGCCTTGCTTTGTTTGTTCCTAGGCAGGGCTAACCCAACCCCGTAACCAAGGGCCGTCGGAGGCGATTTTGTTCCTTCCCGGCCAGTCTGAGACTCGCGCCCCATTGCGGCCATTTTGAGAGTTGCTCTGATTTCAGCATCTGCGTTCAATTTATCTCAACCAAATTGGCTTTAGCCTTGCATTCAATTGGCTTCAACCAAATTGGCTTTAGCTTTACATTCAATTGACTTGAACCAAATTGGCTTTGGTTTTGCATTCAATTGGCTTCAACCAAATTGGCTTTAGCCTTGCATTCAATTGACTTCAACCAAATTGGCTTTAGCTTTACATTCAATTAATGTAAGCCATATTGGCTTTAGCTTTACCTTGGTTACGGGGTTGGGCTAGCCTTGCTTTGTTTGCTCCTAGGCAGGGCTAACCCAACCCCGTAACCAAGGGCCGTCGGAGGCGATTTTGTTCCTTCCCGGCCAGTCTGAGACTCGCGCCCCTTTGTGGCCGTTCTGAGAATTGCAATGTCTTTGGGTGGGCTGAGATCTGCACTGCTTTTGAGGTGGGTTGCGGTATGCAACATTCTCACAAGTGTGGTGTCACCAATGGGGTGTGGAGGCTTTGTACCCTTTCTCTGGTTGGTCTGACATCTATGTGAACCATGTCTTCAAGTGTACTGCGTATGCGTGTGCTGCGCCTGTAAATTGCGTCGTGCCATGTATGCAATATGTGTTAAGTTGCGCCTGTAAACTGTGTTGTGCCATGTACAGAATGTGTGGATGCTGCGCCTATAAACTAAGTCTTGGAATCAGAGATCCATGTTCATTACATGTTTTGCTTCTCAATGTGTAGTTGCTGGTATAGCGCGTATGTATATGATTGTATGAGTCATGCCTTGTGGAAACAGTGCTGTAATAAACAAACAGTTAAACAATGCACGTATGTTGTGTGTCTTGCTTTGTCACGGCAACGACTGGAAGGACACTGGAAGGTAGGTGAGAAAGGTAGGTGTGGAGGGTGGTAGACTTAGACGGGGCTTAGACTTTGACTTAGACACTGGGCGTTAGACTTAGACAAAGACTTAGACACTAAGGGTTAGACTTAGACTTAGACACTGGGCGTTAGACTTAGACAAAGACTTAGACACTAAGGGTTAGACTTAGACACTGGGCGTTAGACTTAGACTTAGACACTGGGCGTTAGACATAGACAAAGACTTAGACACCAAGGGTTAGACTTAGACTTAGACACTGGGCGTTAGACATAGACAAAGACTTAGAAACCAAGGGTTAGACTTAGACTTAGACACTGGGCGTTAGACATAGACAAAGACTTAGAAACCAAGGGTTAGACTTAGACTTAGACACTGGGCGTTAGACTTAGACTTAGACTCTGGGCGTTAGACTTAGACAAAGACTTAGACACTAAGGGTTAGACTTAGACACTGGGCGTTAGACTTAGACAAAGACTTAGACACTAAGGGTTAGACTTAGACACTGGGCGTTAGACTTAGACTTAGACACTGGGCGTTAGACTTAGACTTAGACACTGGGCGTTAGACATAGACAAAGACTTAGAAACCAAGGGTTAGACTTAGACTTAGACACTGGGCGTTAGACTTAGTCAAAGACTTAGGCACTAAGGGTTAGACTTAGACTTAGACACTGGGCGTTAGACTTAGACTTAGACTCTGGGCGTTAGACTTAGACAAAGACTTAGACACTAAGGGTTAGACTTAGACACTGGGCGTTAGACTTAGACTTAGACTCTGGGCGTTAGACTTAGACAAAGACTTAGACACTAAGGGTTAGACTTAGACACTGGGCGTTAGACTTAGACTTAGACACTGGGCGTTAGACATAGACAAAGACTTAGACACCAAGGGTTAGACTTAGACTTAGACACTGGGCGTTAGACTTAGACAATGACTTAGACACTAAGGGTTAGACTTAGACACTGGGCGTTAGACTTAGACTTAGACTCTGGGCGTTAGACTTAGACAAAGACTTAGACACTAAGGGTTAGACTTAGACTTAGACACTGGGCGTTAGACTTAGACAATGACTTAGACACTAAGGGTTAGGCTTAGACACTGGGCGTTAGACTTAGACTTAGACTCTGGGCGTTAGACTTAGACAAAGACTTAGACACTAAGGGTTAGACTTAGACTTAGACACTGGGCGTTAGACTTAGACTTAGACACTGGGCGTTAGACATAGACAAAGACTTAGACACCAAGGGTTAGACTTAGACTTAGACACTGGGCGTTAGACATAGACAAAGACTTAGACACCAAGGGTTAGACTTAGACTTAGACACTGGGCGTTAGACTTAGACAAAGACTTAGACACTAAGGGTTAGACTTAGACTTAGACACTGGGCGTTAGACTTAGACAAAGACTTAGACACTAAGGGTTAGACTTAGACTTAGACACTGGGCGTTAGACTTAGACAAAGACTTAGACACCAAGGGTTAGACTTAGACTTAGACACTGGGCGTTAGACTTAGACAAAGACTTAGACACTAAGGGTTAGGCTTAGACACTGGGCGTTAGACTTAGACTTAGACTCTGGGCGTTAGACTTAGACAAAGACTTAGACACCAAGGGTTAGACTTAGACTTAGACACTGGGCGTTAGACTTAGACAAAGACTTAGACACCAAGGGTTAGACTTAGACTTAGACACTGGGCGTTAGACTTAGACACTGGGCGTTAGACTTAGACACTGGGCGTTAGACTTAGACTTAGACACTGGGCGTTAGACTTAGACAATGACTTAGACACTAAGGGTTAGACTTAGACTTAGACACTGGGCGTTAGACTTAGACAAAGACTTAGACACCAAGGGTTAGACTTAGACTTAGACACTGGGCGTTAGACTTAGACACTGGGCGTTAGACTTAGACACTGGGCGTTAGACTTAGACTTAGACACTGGGCGTTAGACTTAGACACTGGGCGTTAGACTTAGACTTAGACACTGGGCGTTAGACTTAGACAATGACTTAGACACCAAGGGTTAGACTTAGACTTAGACACTGGGCGTTAGACTTAGACACTGGGCGTTAGACTTAGACACTGGGCGTTAGACTTAGACTTAGACTCTGGGCGTTAGACTTAGACAAAGACTTAGACACCAAGGGTTAGACTTAGACTTAGACACTGGGCGTTAGACTTAGACAAAGACTTAGACACCAAGGGTTAGACTTAGACTTAGACACTGGGCGTTAGACTTAGACACTGGGCGTTAGACTTAGACACTGGGCGTTAGACTTAGACTTAGACACTGGGCGTTAGACTTAGACAATGACTTAGACACTAAGGGTTAGACTTAGACTTAGACTCTGGGCGTTAGACTTAGACAAAGACTTAGACACCAAGGGTTAGACTTAGACTTAGACACTGGGCGTTAGACTTAGACACTGGGCGTTAGACTTAGACACTGGGCGTTAGACTTAGACTTAGACACTGGGCGTTAGACTTAGACAATGACTTAGACACTAAGGGTTAGACTTAGACTTAGACACTGGGCGTTAGACTTAGACTTAGACACTGGGCGTTAGACATAGACAAAGACTTAGACACCAAGGGTTAGACTTAGACTTAGACACTGGGCGTTAGACTTAGACAAAGACTTAGACACCAAGGGTTAGACTTAGACTTAGACACTGGGCGTTAGACTTAGACACTGGGCGTTTGACTTAGACACTGGGCGTTAGACTTAGACAAAGACTTAGACAGTAAGGGTTAGACTTAGACTTAGACACTGGGCGTTAGACTTAGACAATGACTTAGACACTAAGGGTTAGACTTAGACTTAGACACTGGGCGTTAGACTTAGACTTAGACACTGGGCGTTAGACATAGACAAAGACTTAGACACCAAGGGTTAGACTTAGACTTAGACACTGGGCGTTAGACTTAGACACTGGGCGTTAGACTTAGACAAAGACTTAGGGTTAGGGTTAGGGTTAGGGTTAGGGTTAGGGTTAGGGTTAGGGTTAGGGTTAGGGTTAGGGTTAGGGTTAGGGTTAGGGTTAGGGTTAGGGTTAGGGTTAGGGTTAGGGTTAGGGTTAGGGTTAGGGTTAGGGTTAGGGTTAGGGTTAGGGTTAGGGTTAGGGTTAGGGTTAGGGTTAGGGTTAGGGTTAGGGTTAGGGTTAGGGTTAGGGTTAGGGTTAGGGTTAGGGTTAGGGTTAGGGTTAGGGTTAGGGTTAGGGTTAGGGTTAGGGTTAGGGTTAGGGTTAGGGTTAGGGTTAGGGTTAGGGTTAGGGTTAGGGTTAGGGTTAGGGTTAGGGTTAGGGTTAGGGTTAGGGTTAGGGTTAGGGTTAGGGTTAGGGTTAGGGTTAGGGTTAGGGTTAGGGTTAGGGTTAGGGTTAGGGTTAGGGTTAGGGTTAGGGTTAGGGTTAGGGTTAGGGTTAGGGTTAGGGTTAGGGTTAGGGTTAGGGTTAGGGTTAG